TTAATACAGTTTATGCTCATCAATATCAAATTTAAAAATAACTATAGGAACTCATTAGAATCATATCTTATATTTACACTACTTACAATTAGATGCATCATAGTTTCGGCGTGAAAAAGTGTCAGTAAAGTTTTCTTTTGATAAACATTACTTTGTCAATATTTACTTAATAGATATAGGATGCTTTATATATTGTGTAAATAATGCAAAATAATAAATTTAAAATAAAATATGGATTACGAAAGTTGTAGAGCTATCGGCCAACAGTAAAGGATATTTGTACATTTCAATCATCTGTTGACTATATTCTACCGGTATTCTAGCTATTGTTTACTCTGTGGATCAAGCTTGGTGTCATATCTTTGTGAAATTCCTCCTAAAACGTTCCAAAAATAGAAATCAGGTTATTTTGAATGATTTCATTCAAGGAACTTCCGTTTAGTATACAGCAGTTTTCATAATTAAGGAACAACAACAGTAGAATCAATCTTAACTCCCGTTTCTAATCGATAGCTGAATAAAAAAATACATGAAACGTATTGAAGTCATCAGCGAATGAAAATTTGAGAACTTTATAAAAACTGCAAAGACTTTGTTGTTGTTACTGTTGTTACTAATAGGTCTTGGACCTAATTACTTTGAGTAAAATTTATCATTGAACTTTATTTTGTTGAACAGTAATCACACATAGATCCCATAAATTTAAAGTTTTTTAATTTTTCTTCAACTATACCCAACTCTAAACAGCTAGAATTGAAGTAAAATTTCACAATATCTTAAATATTAATTATTATGCCGAAACAAATATTCTAGTGTAGTGTCGGTTGATATCTTAAACACATGTACCTTATTCTAGCTTCTGGACAAGCCAATTTACCTATCCATCATCAGTCACGTCTTGACTTTGTTTATTCACTTATTAACGCTGACTGTTTTTTTATACGAGCGTATGCGTGTGTACACTTCTTATCCCATTCATTACATGACTGCTACTTAATCTCGTCTGACTATAAATATTGATTAACGCTTAATTAAAGCGAGTTAGCTTACCCGCCATTTCCAACGTGTGTCATTTTCGCTTCGCTCTCTTCTATTCGCTTCATCCTTCTGATTTCCTGTCCAGATCAATTAATGTACAATATAAACATATTCAAAATTCGTTCTCGTATTTGACTTTATTTTAGCTCCGTTATTCATCAACGCGGATCAAGTCATGTATTACATATGAGGGTAGCCAGGATGCATATTTTGACAGCAATCATTCATAGAATCTAATTCGAGACAGATTTAGGCCCTACACTAGTTAGACAACCATTGTTCAACCTTTGGGAAAGAGATCTTAACCACTAATTTATAATCTCAATATAAGCTAGATGAATACTATCCAACTTCTTATCTCCATTAACAAAAAGTGAAATTGTTATTGTAGAAGTTTTCACTAATAAACATACAATCCTATTATGACAACGAATTGAATCCATAATATCAAATTACTTAGTATGAGATAATAAAAATCGATAAATGGAATAATCAAAACAAAGCCAATTATTTAATACTTATTCATTTAATCAACATAAGATTGAACGTTTAAAACCTTAAACAGAAGAGAAAGAAGACTATCAGTAATTATATTCCCATTCATTCGAATTGTGGTGTAGATAATTCAATGGTATTTATGACTAATTACACAATATTTATTTCCTAAGTGAATTACAATTAAAGTAACAGAATATTAATAAGTAACAAATAATAAATGTTTTTGCTGGGCGGCCTATTCTCCTCCACGAGAGGTAACAGGCGTAAGTAAATAAGAAATGTTCAACTGAATTACATTTAAGATTTTCTAATATTCTTTAACTTTGACTCTGCAGTAGATTGTATCCACTAACACTAGGACACATCGTGAATACTTAACTTCTAGATCACCGGGTCTAACGATTTTTGTATCTATCTTCATTTAATTTGTTCCATGCTGTGACTTGCAATATTACTGTACAGTAAATATGCAGACAAATTTAAAGTAATTGTTGTAGAGGAAACGTTGAGATAAATGAAGCAATATAGGGATTTTAGGCATATCTTAAATCTGTAACCTGATTTACTATTTTTCATTCTTTCTTAAAATGTTTATTTTCATTTCGCTTAATCAAACTAATTGAGCACCTCAAAAAGTAATCAATTCGTTCTTTCAAATAATGCGACCCCGGTTCTCTACGGTATTGTTTCGTGAACGATAATGAAGTTGAAGTCAGAGAAAAAGCTAAGAGTAATTAGTATTAACTTGAGATTATAAATGAAAAAAAAGAAAATCAAGTGTTGTGCTAAGTTAGGGGAAAAATTGTTTCCCACTCAAATAAAAAAATACAGTTTCCAAGAAATAATCCATTCGATTTTTAATTCGGTTACTTATATTTGAATTTTTTTACTTTACTCATAGTCAACTGTCGTTAAAACTGTTTTCTAGTTAGGATAATAATAACATGGATATATCGATCTATTTTACGGACACCAATCTATAGTTTCTTTCTAGTAAAATACAATCATGAAACAAACTCATAGCCATTAAAGGCAGAGATGATGGTGGTTAGTATTGCGACTTTAAGCCTGGCCAATTATTAGGTGATTTATTCGCCAATCAAAATGCGACTTATTGAATCTTAGTACTATGCCAAACCAATTTCGTTCGACCTGTATGAGAAACCTAGCGTCCTTATTGGTCCATTTGTTCTCCTAGCCCTTTCACTTGAGTCCAGAACGCCAATAATAGCTTTCACTATGCGAAACATTTATTTCAAACATATTTGGTTAATATAACAGCCAAACAGGCGGTATCACGTCATAAAATAGGAAGTAACATTTATATAAGACCAGGCCAAATGTGGCTGTGAACGTGGGAGACTGTAACAAATAAACTGAGTATATTTTAGGAACAGTAGGTTGTATAATAGTAATCTTTACGTCAAAATGAAACTTATAATAAAAGGAAAATAGATACATATAATCTAGTTACTGAATACGAATATGTATAAAATTAGCCAATTAACAGATCTCAGAAGTCACTTGCAATTTAGCTTACACTAGGATACAACAGCTAGCAGTTCTGAAGATGTAAACAATTGTACCTCAATCTTTAAAGTTTCAGAGTCCACTATAAAAATTCGCCATTGGTATAAAAGCCTATCAAATATCACCATAACTAAATGTAGCGTTTTTTATTCTTCTCGATACTTTATTTCATTGTTTTTATCTATGTGGATGTTAGGGCAGTCCAGGGAGATGTTTCCTAACGGATTATCTAAACTAAATTGTTGATGCTTGCTTGGCTTTATGGTAGTAGGTAGAAGGTTTCAACTTTGTCCTATTTGATTCAACTTAGGTACTGAAACATAATCATTTGACCTTACTAGCAAAAGATTTAGTTTGAATCTAAGCATATAAACTTGCAGTTGGTAAATAAGTTTACATTGTTCTTAATATATATCGCTTCATAAAAAGCGATATGTTTAACACTAAAAATTTCGAATCTATGATACGCCAATCACCTTAAAGTGTAATCCTATAGAAATTTTCTACCTAATCTCATGCACTTATCATGAAACTACAAGAAACCTCTAAAATTAGATATTGGTTTGACTTTATTACGGAATATGTATTTTTCCTCAGCATTCTGATAATGTTGTTTAAAATTAGGAAATGTGATTCTTATTTACGTACGTAGGCCTGTTATCCCCCGTAAACAAGCAAATGCCGCACACCAGCATTCTCTATCCAACCCTGTTTTGAGCAACCCTTTCCAGTTCTTTCCAGTTGTTATTCATTCTTTTCATATCTGCTTCTATTTCTCGACGTAATGAGTTCTTTGGCCTTCCTTTTTTCCGCTTCCCCTCACGATTCCAACAGTAATGATGTCATGGTATATCATATTTACTGAATTCATTTAGAACTACAGCTATAAAACATGATACTAACTAGTAATAAGTAAATAACTACTCTAAAAGTAATTATATCATGAATTTGTTGTATGACAACGTTTTTGTTTTACACTCAAACACAAGTTACGCCTACATACACAGTAACCGTTGAAATATATTTAAAATTTTAACAAATTTATTTTCATAGAAGCATCTATTTAATCATGTTACGATTCTTAGTCTTGAAACATCATCTACTTCTAAAGATTATATAATAGTGCAATCTATGACTACATATACTTATTCCAACTAAATTTTTAATAAAACTGTTCTGTGAAAACTCTTTTAAACCTCGAAATATGTCAAACAAGCAGGAGTCACACAATAGGACGAAACAGTCGTCCAGTGCTTCCATGTTTTCCATTGTGGTTTAGCTTCAATTGATTCATGATCTCAACTATTAAAATTACTATAATATCGACAAAATACCTTCTGACAAAATTAATTGTTAATACGACCAAATGAATAAACAAATGAAAAAAATGTTGAGGTCTATTATTACTTGCAGCTGCTACAATATTTCAGTAGAATTTTAGAAAATTTCGTTTAAAGTTCCTATTTCTAGAATCATTCTATACAACATGAATATAATTACCATTTTTAAAAGCCACCGTTGGTCAAATAAATTGTCGTAATTTGATTGGTGTAGAATTCGAATTATTCATTGGATAATAAATAAGACGAGATGAAGGTCATCGATTCATATCGGTTTTTAATGGTAGTTTTTAATGATTATTGTTGACTGACAATATTTGGAATTAATTCATAATACTTTTTTATCAAAGTTAGCAAGCAAAACAAACCAAAAAATGCATAAAGAAATGAATTAATTAAGATCTTAGTGTTATATATCATTACAGTTATTTAGAAACAATATGCAAACGTGTATAGTACATGCTAAGATTTATATAACCTTTGTTTATTTATTACAAATGATGTATTCAATTCAACAAAACCCTGAAAATTTGGGTATACCATTTATTCTTAATTCTAATCCTTGTTTTTTGGATCCTTCAATTTGTTTTCAAGTTCCTTCTGCTCCACGGAATTTACGTTTGAATCAATTACGAAGAGCTACTCCACCCGGTGCAAGTGATCCAAAAGCAGATTATGCAATATTAGAACTAGCATGGGATCCACCTGAAAGAACACATGGTGATATACGAGGTTATCAAGTGTCACATCGTCTAATTGGACCAATTGATATATTATATGCTAGTTCGAATAGAATAGATACAGATGCGAATTCACGACCTCCATCTAAACCGATTATAAGAAATGTCACTCAAACAGCATACACATCAGTTTTATCGGATGGAATAAGTGAGTATTTATATTATATTGAGTTAATAATGTTGAATGTATGTGTTTTGGGAAACTGTAACAGCTTCTATGAAAATAATTTTAACGTCTAGATACATACTTAAGCGAATTAGTGAAACGTTTTTTATCCTTTTATTTTGCTATAACATATTGTGGGTGTTATATGAATTTGTTTTATTATTTCCATATTAATTTACCTAAGTTATATTCATTAGTAAACAGAGGTTTTACTAATTCAAACTACCATTAGTCAGTTGAGATATTCCTCCAACTTTCTGAACAGTTGTTCTACTACATAACAGCCCTTTGTGAACCATAGCCCATGAAACAAAAAGCAAACACAGGTTTGGAGTATATAGCTATTTTCTGGAACAAATAAGTGGGTACTATCATCTGATCACGGACTTTTACGTAAAATAAGTAAATTGCTTAGTATGGGAGTAACACGTAACTGATTTAAGTGAGTAGACTCTACGATTATGTAATTCAGAAAGTTTCTACTCAGATCTTATATCCCAGATAGTATGGATATAAGTTGCCGCAAGATGAAGACAGTATTATTTTACGAAATCATTGAACGTCGATATTCATCGTGTCTAAAATGCACCAAACTTCAGCTTCAAAGAATGTAACGTAAACGTATCTATTTTTTGAAAAGAAGGGGTGCTATCCTCGTAAATAGATCTCGGTGATTAACTTTAGAGCACTGGCTACCTCCCACTTAATCCTGATTACGGTATCATATTTACTTCCAAACCGTTTTTCCTGTGGGTAACTTTTCGATTAAATTAATTACTTTTACTACCGTTCATTCTACTATAATGAAAGATATTTTGCACTGATACGTTTTTAAAACGGCTTCTATGTTTTCTACAAGTAATCGAATGAATTGGCTGAGATTTTTCTCTTTATTGCTCTTATATATATTCCATTTGTCTAGGTATTTTATGGTATTTGTATAGCTTCACGAAAGTAATAAGGTCAAGCATTTTGAATTATATCTCGAGATATTTGTATATTCATGTAAATGTGACTGTTGTAGATAGAACTTCATTTTGATCTCATGAACTATATATCAAAATGTTCTGTAAAGATCGTTGAGTTTAGCTTTTTCTTTGTTAATTATTTTCAAATAATCATATCAATAAGTGTAGTAAATGGCAAACATTTTAATTCGTCTCTTCACTATCTTTTTTCAAAATATTTGTTATAATCAGGCCTGATCAGTTGAGTATTGACAGTAATGTCCAATGTAATGGACAAATATATTATTTTAAATCGTATAAGTGTTAAAATTAAAGAAATTTTAGGGAGTACATTTTCTACATAGATTACAACAATGTGAGGCATCATTTGTTAACTTTTAATTCTTTGTAATTGGACATCTAGTTGATACAGGAGTAGTGTATTCAAGGTCATTTCCAGTGCTATTACATAGCAATTATAATTATTGACAAACGGAGTAAGTAAAACAGAGTCACATTGAATGTAACAACAAAAGCTATGAATCCTACTGCTATTCATATACCTTTCTGTTTTATGATCTATCGTTTGGGTTAGAGATTACATAAGTTAGTTAAGTTCATTAGGTACAGAACAATATAAGTTCAAAATATCAACTGTCTAAGAATTTTAATTAATTGGTTCAGTAATAACAACTAATAAACGTTTCGTGTCCCTATAATATCATTTATGGAATGGCCTATAATTCGAAGCGTAAGTACATTTAAGATAGTTTCCGAGGTAAAGTAAATACCAATACACTGAACAAAAAATAGTAGTGACTTTGCTTCATAAACATATAGCGGCAAATTATTTCAGAATCTCAAAAAAATTATATTTTCTAAACTAAATTGCTTGTTAACTAATAAATAAAACTTGTATATCATCTAGTTTTTGATAAGGAAAAATGTTTATTTTTCTATCCTAAAACTAAATCTATATCTTACACTAAGGACAATGAATAATGAGTATTTGACATAGTAGTCAAACATCTGGTCAATATTTTGTTTGTATATTTGTTTCCAAATGGTAATTACTTGTATAAGTTTCTTTGATATTTGATTCATAAAATGTTTATTATTATAGCATGACATTATTATTGATAAATGCTTGAATATTAATTGCATATTTGTATGTAGACATAGCCTAAAGGGAAATAAAAGCATATAATTATACAAAAGGAATAATTATGATATAAACCTAGACATTTTCGTTATAGTCATTTGTAAAATATAAACATCTGTTATTTAGAGAATTTTTCATAGAATGATCTTACTCTATATCTGAACAAATGGTATATATAGACATGTAGAATTTTATGATTTAATTTTAATGAACTTTTGTCATAGTGTGGTGTATGCTACTGATGTCGACAGATATAAGTAGTATGTACCATTGATCGAAAGCGAAATACCTAAATGTAGAGAACGAGAAAAAATAATGAATGCTGTGGAAATAAAAGAACAGTGAATTCTGAGACGATTGACTAACATTTTGTAGGATGAACAGTCAAGTTTTCGACAATTGAATCTCAGATTCTACTAAGATATTCTGTAATTTCGTGTTCAAATACATTTGATTGTCCCCAATTGTGTTCTCGTCTACTAAAGTAGGAAAACTTTACATAATGAAATGATAGAGAAATTTATGTATATTCTTCAAATGGAAGTATTTATGGTTAGATATAAATGATTATATTTTGTTGTAAATATAGTGATTGCTGAATTATTCAAATGTAAATCGAACGGAGATTATGCTATTTAATCTTCAATCTTTTCTATCAATATTGATACACTTATTCAGTAGTTTGCATTTTAATGATTTTATCTTTGTCATTTTTGATACAAGACATTAAACAATCAGAAAACTCGCTTAGTATTGTTTGTTTGAATCTTCCCAATGATGTTTACTACTGCAACTGGTCAATCTATAATTGGTATATATGCATACTGTACGTATCGCCTCGATATAGGCGCGAAGTTTGAAGCGAAAGGTACTGGGTTCGAGTCTCAGAGTGAAAATCAACTCTGAGATGCAGGTGCATCCGGACGAGTCCCAAACAGGACGAAACGCGCGTCCTGGATTCCACTGAAAGCCACGATCCATCTTTGCTCACAATCAGAAAACTCTTTAATTTTTTTCTAATCTACAGTGATTGTAAAACGTTTTCGTACAATAAACTTTTCATAAACGATCCTGAATAGGTTTTGAGAATTATAGATATAACGATGTGTCAAAACAAAAAAGGAAACAGATAACTTGTTGAAATATCTTCATGTCAGGAACAGGTATCCCAGATATTCAAGAAGGTCACCAGTATTCCAGATTGAAATTTTACATAATCCTTAGTTCTGATTTAATTCGATCAATAAATATAGAATATGTTCATCAGTCTTAGAGATAAAACATTTTAAATTCGAATTTGTCATTTAGTAATTGTTAATAAAAATTTGACCGACAGTCTGTTAGATTTTAAATTGTATCAACAACAAAACAAAACTATTTTCAGTGTTTAAAATGTTTTCCTAACGGAATATAAATACTCTCACTTATTATATCATTAAATTAGTAATGAGAAGGGAATTTGTGGAAATTTCAGTATTTTCATATTTGGAATCATGAATCAATTGAAGGACGAAACGGCCGTCCAGTGCTTCCAGGTTTTCAAAAGTGGTCTAGCTTCAATCGACACATGATTTCAACCATGAAAATGCTGAAATCTCCACAAAACCCCTTCCTATTATAATCATATCCTCACTAGTGACTGGCTTCATGAGGTATTTCCCGGAGTCCTAGTGAGAAGCAGTGATCAGTGGAGTTCAACCAAGTCTGTTGTGAGATAACAACTCACTGAAGACAATTGGTGAACGGTTGCTCAACTTCGTGGATTGGTTGAAGTTAGACTTTAACACCGTTGGATGCCGGTTCAGTGGTCTATCGGTTAAGTGCTGTGGAGCGAGACTGTTAGGTCCTGGGTTCGAATCTCGAGGGGTGGGATCGTGGATGCGCACTGTTGAGGAGTCCCATGATAGGAGGAAGCGGCTGTTCAGTGCTTCCAGGTTTTCGATGTTGGTCTAACTCCAATTGACTCATGATTTCAACTATGAAAATTAGTAATGAATTTGAAATAGTTTCCGCATTTCAGTTGCATTTTTCACATTCTTTCTATTAGTCCCTCTCTATCTTTTTCTACTTGAATCCAAGGATAATATGAACAACTGTTGTCTAGTTTAAAAAAACAACAAAACTAAGTTGCTACAGTAATTCATGTTTCAGGCAATTTTATTGTTGTTAAGTACTTACACTATTCAAATTGCTGCACAATTGATTTATATATTTCTTTATAATCATAAAAAAATAAATATTTAATTTCTTTTAATCCACTGTAGATATCACATTTTAAGTTGGATACTATTCATGAATACAATTTCGACTAAGTACTTTTTTATTCGATTATATGTTCTTTCTACGTTGTCCTACGTAAAAATCTCTTAATTAGTCAATGTGTAAACTATTAATTTAACTGATCTGGTCATGTGACATTGTCTTGTAAATTGAAATTTATCATCAGTGTATATTCAAGACTCTACAATAATCCAAAATTAGGACATATTTAGGTAGATCCATTCAGAACTCATATGTCCATAGTTCCAGCTTCAATTTTTTAATATTACATGTTCCTTTTTCTGTCTTTGATTATACAGTGATAAAATAAAAAAGAGGTGGGAGTACTTTTAAAATGCATATATTAGGGTTCAATGCTATGCAGTATTAGTACTGGATTTAGAGCAACACAAACTTATTACATAACTAATATGACAAAACTAAATAAATAATAATAACTTTGAAGTAAACTTTAACTTTATTACAATCAGTTCAAAGTAATTTTGCTTCGGTTTGGGCACCTGGGCAGTATCACAGCCCTCACACAAATCAAATAAGGTTTGTGTGGCGCATATGTATCTGGTGCCCCTTTGTACCAATATTTATGTTCTCAT